AAAACCAAAAACAAAAATAATATAATACGCGTATGTGGAATTCGTCGATGTTGCCGCCACCACATCATTTTCTACAAACTTCTTGGCACTGTATCTCGGTAAGTACTGATCAGATCCTAATTTTTTTTGTTTTATTACCTTCACAAAAATATGCTCTTTAATTCTGTAAGAAAAAATAATTTTTTTTTTTTTTTCAAAATTTCTTGGACACTGGTGCGTGACTTCAGATTTTGGCCTTGGACCCTGAAAGGGTTAAGGGACTAATAGTATCTTCGATAAACTGGCTTGTGTTTTCATAGATGATTCTCTACTTTTTACAGACCATTCAAAGCCCATTTTGGTGCAGCTTGTATGACTGTTACTCATGTCACTATACGAAGAAACAAACGAACAAACTTTATTTCTATGAAGTGGAATACAGTATACGCATTATACAGTTGGGATGATTGGCATATATTATTACATTATAGCAGTGGTTCCCAATCTGTGGTCCGTGGACCCCTGGGGCTCCGCGAAGGTAGTACTGGGGGTCTATAAGTTAAGTTCAAAATTTCAGGAGGCTGCAGTGTAAAATGTATAATTACTCATGATATAAGGTTGATAAAGAAAAATTGAAGAAATAAGAAACCTTTTTATTCAATGCTTGCAAGGTTTGAAGAACAGTTTTAAGGATTATTTTCCTCTTTCTGATGCCAGTAACAAGTGGATTATGTATACATTTTATGTAGATATAAAAAATATAAAAGATTTAACTTTTGTGTGACACCTCACTGAGGCTAAGTTTCATTCGGTACAACTTATCAGACTTTTGGTTGCATGTGAGTATGAGTAGCCAGAACTGGCATCCAAAGCACTGAGATTTTTAATGACATTCCCCACTACATATTTATGTGAGCAAGCTTTCTCACAACTGTTTTACATAAAGTCAAAATACAGAAACCAGGATAAATGAGGAACCTGCAGTATTGGCATAATTATTATGGATTTTTTGAAAATTCGATATTTTTCTACTAAAAAGTCAGTTAAGCCAATTTCATTGATTGCTGATGGATTTTTGATACAGTAGTACAGAGCAACTATTTAAAATTAACTTTAAAAGTGTTTAAAAGTATTGTGTGTTTTTGTTTTGCAACTCTGAAGGAACAATGGATGGGAACATTGAATAAGACGGGTCATGTAGTAGTGTTCATCCAAAGATGTGTTTCAGTTGTTGTCCTGGTTTGGCATGCAAAGGTTGTAATAATTCCATTAATGTGTATTTGCTGTTAAAAGTGCCTTTTGCTTTTTCATGTAGTTTAATGGTTAAAAAGAAAGTCAGCAGAAATGAGTGAAAATAGCAATTTGAGTCCTCACAGTGGGACAGATGTGCTATCACTCAACATGACGAAGACATATTGAGTGATAGCACATTAAAATAATAAAACTTGGTGTTTCGACTCAGTCACTAAAATTAAGAACAAATTGAATTACGATCAAGATTTAAACACAAAAAGGATGGGCAGATATGGTAGAAAATGGAAAACACCACCAAGATTAGACAGAAAAATAATATGAATGGTTCTTAACAATAGAAGAGGATCTTGCAGGCAGATTTCCTCGGACCTAGCAGCATCTAGGACAGTTAATGAGAGGCTTTTGGAGAGTGGATTGAAAGCATAGTCTCAGAAAGAAGCCGTGACTTGATGAACCCATGATACGGGAAAATTTAGCCTGGGCTAAGTATCACATTGAGTGGACTTCTGAACAATGGGAACATGTAAGAATTACACTTAGCTTTTCAGTTCATTTGTTGTTTATAAAAGATTACGTGTGAGTGAGGTGAAAGTGTTGAATGATGAAAGTATTTTCTTTTTTGGGGATTTTCTTTCTTTTTGGGTCACCCTGCCTCAGTGGGAGACGGCCGACTTGTTTAAAAAAAAAAAAGAACATTAATTGTTAGCAAAATGACAATTCTATTTGAGAAGGATTAAGATTACTATTCAGCTTCTCTGGTTGTTCCACCTCTTCTATTGTCTTTTCTGTTGTTGCAGGTGGTTTTCTCTGATGAATCCACCATTGCAATGCTGCATGACCATGTGCTGACTGTAAGAAGGCGGTCAGGTGAGGAATTTGTGCATGAATGAAGAAGACTGTCAGATTTCCTCAGAAAATGATAGTGTGGGGAGCCATTTCCGTTCTTGGAATAAGTCGTTTGTATATTGTTGAGGGTACCATGAACCAGGTGAAGTATATAGAGGTACTACAATGCCAGTTACTGCCTCAGATAAGGTATTGGTATGGTGATCGACATTGGATATTCCAGCAGCACTCAACCTCATGTTACGTGGCAAATATTGGCAAAGACGTGGTGAGCGCAACGTGGCGTTGAGCTGCTCCCATGGGCTGGAAATTTCCCCAACATGAATGCTATTGAGAGTTTAAGGTCTGTATTGAAGGATGAAATACGCGAAGTTCCCATTACAACCAAGGTACAACTCATAGAATGCCTTATTAGGATTTGGTTTCGTTCTGCCAGAATCGAGGAATTATGCAAAACTTTGATCACTGGCATGCTCACATGTGTTAAAGCACCTATGGATGCTAGAGGAATCAAACCAAATATTAATCAATGTAAAATAGTTGACTTATACTAGTGTATCAAAATACTAAATCCATTAGCAGTCAGTGAAATTGGTTTAGTTGACCTTTTAGTAGAAAATATCGAATTTTAAAAAAATCCGTATTAATTATGCCAGTGCTGTGATCTGCGCTCAAAACTGTCTGCCAGTGAACCTGAAGTTTGGAACATAGTGTCAACAAAGCAGCATCAACCATCTCATTAAACAAGTAAGTTGTTTTTAATACTGCCATTTATTTAACTGCATACTCGGTTACGTATGTCTTTCAGTTGAGAGATGAAACTGGGAAAACAAGTTTGTTGTTAGTTAATAAAATTGGCTTGTTGAGTAGACAGACTCTTTCAAAAACCTGGGGTCCCTGGGAAAATTATTTTAAATAAAAGGGGCCCTGGTGGCGAAAAGGTCGGGAACCACTACTTTATAGAAAGCCCCTTGTTATGTGAAGGATTTCAGGCTGCCTTAAAACTGATTATGATTACAAATATATGAGAATAAGAATACATACATAGTTTTTAAAATATTGAAGGCATTTAGTAATTCAATAAAATAGTGCAATTAGATATATATTAAGGAAGAAACTAAGTACATGTGATAAATGAATGGCAGACAAGAACAGGTACAATACAGGATAAAAGATTTTTTCAGCATAATTTACTGTTGTTGATCTGTCATCTGCTTTCCCACTTATGCAGTGAGAGGCATCCCAAGTTTTACTTTGTAGGATCATGATAGAGCTTCCTTACTTTACCATATCTACACAGACATGTTATAATCCACATAATCAGTTTACTCACATTGGAAAATAATGTGGATAAAAGTGTGCTTATATTTTGCACTCGTACACATCAGTAATATTTTGCTCATATTCAAGTACAATTCCAATATAATTCCAACTAGAATTAGCTAAATACAACGAACCTTATAACTAAACCCCAAAAATCCACAAAAATTTCAACAAAATGTGAGAATCCTGTTGATTTTATTGTCACTCAAAATATTGTCTCCTTGATGTTGTACTAGCATGCTACTGTACTTTTTCCTCCCACAGGATCTCGCCTTTTTACCCCCAAAAGGCATCATGGGCCAGGATTTATTGCAAATGGGGCTTTGTATCGCCTGACTAATTCCTTTGAAGGCCTAAAATAACAAACTGTAGAAAATTTGAATGAGTTATGATTTTATATATAGTATGTACATACATGTATATCTAGCCCAATTCCTGGGAAAGACATAGTGTGTCTTGTTAAAGGGTTGAACATATTGCACTGGCAGAATTGCTGATGTTTTCTATCTCATGTAAAACGGCAGGTAAATCTTACAAACTACTTTTCACATTCAGCATGAACATTTCTTTACTTTTCTGCACGTTTCTTAGTTGTGGTTCTTATTCCTGTAATATTTCTTTTTCATCTGATTAGGTCCTGTCTGAGATGGCTGCATTGGTGATCTCCAGAACCATGGACACATAACAGTTAAATGTACTAAAAATAAATGATAATGGCTGATGAATGGACAAATACAGGCTATGTGTATGAGATGTGAACTTTAGTCAAATAAGAAAAAAAAAAGTCAGGGAATTTATGTAGTGTACAGAAGAACTGCAAGTTTAATCTAAGGTACCAAAAAGTACATCACAACAAGATCATTACAGCATAGGACATAATATTTTTAACAAATATTTGGCTGAAATTAGTGGAGTAGTGAATTTCATATTTTAATATAATCAGAAGGAATTTTTCTTAAAAAATGTTTTATACAGAAATTTATGTAAGGAATTTTTTCAGGTACTTAGCTGAGGCTATTAAAGTATCGAACATCAAACCCAAGGTGTTTGTCACAGCTTCAGGTGTGGGTAAGCATTTATGATTTTATGTAATTTTATATTAACTGTATGAAAGAATGCCTGAAATATAAATACCATTAACCTATTTTTCTTTGTCCCAGTGGCTCATAATTTTAAATGTTATTAGAATCTTGGTTTTATAATTTAAAACGTTACCAAGATGGTCCCTTGCAATTGGAGAGGGCCTCTTGACCTGAAGAAGTGGACCTTTTTTTTGTCTTCCCTTTCTTACTGTATATCAAACCTTTATATTCCCCTGCAAAAAGTAATTTTAGAATGGTTAAGGTGAATTCTATTGTATGACTTTTGGTACATCATATAGTATATTTATGAATCAGTGTGAATTATGGAACATTAGTTAGGGAATGTAATTACCAATTTGTAGATAAATGAGCAGACCTAAGCTCATAGTCTCACTTTCCTTCAGTGTTTATTCTATCTTCAGTTTCTTAAAGCTTCAAGTGTTGGAGTACTTACTACCTCCTCCTGCAAATCATAATTGATTTACCACTGTTTGCTGAGGAAAATCTTTCAGTGTTTTTTTCAGTAGCTCTTCTTTCTTAGTTTGTAGTTAGGACCTGATGCTGTGCCAGTTGACAGTGTCAGTCATCTTCCTTGTCAATGCTTTCATTTTTTATAGTCTTTAATGCAGTTATCACATTTTCTCTTTTCTGTCTATCAATCAAAAATGGCATATTCAGCATTTTCTGTCTTCCTCCAGAGCTCGTAATTTTTAGTTGCAGGAGCCATTTTGTAGCTTGTCTTATTTTCCTTTAGCATTTTTTTTTTAGGTGCATATTCTAACTTGGGTCTGAAATGTGTTGTGAATAGCTTAGTCAGCCTTTCCCTATTCATATACTGTATCTAAATGTAATTTTCAAGTTGGCCAGTGTTGCCCAGGAGTTCCTCGTTGTATCATTTGTGACTTTCATTTGCGTGACAGTGTTTTGTCACTGGTGACTCTTGACTCTTGGGTTTCTTTCTTTGGTTGATGCCTTTAGTGTTTTCTTATACAGTTTGTATTCTGTGTGATGTCTGTTTTCACTTTCCATTACATGGCATTTACTTTATATTAAACTCCATCATTCAGATTTTACTCCTCTTGACCAGTCTGTCCAGGTTTTCCTGTAAGGATGCTTGGTTATTTTCTTGCTTGTCTTGCATGTGACCAATGAAATATAGATTCTAACCAGTAAATTCTAAAATGTGATTAATGCAGTGGGGCCCTGGGGGCCCACTTGGAATATGTCCAACACCTAATACAATACCTACTTTTGGTCCTTACTGATACTTTTTATTTTTTTTTACTTTTTCCTCTACTTATTGTTTTTTGTTTATTTGTAATGTACAGAACCACTTTCGTCCTCATGCACACTTGGATAACCAGTTGTTAACCCCTTCACACTAGTGTAATAAGAAGTGGGAAATAAGGAAGACGAGCCAGTCAAATACAAAGGAAGGGGAGCACTGCAAGAGAGCTAGATGCCCACAGAGGGAGAGCAAGCGCACAGAGGTGCGTGAAAGGGGAAGTGGTGAAATAAATGAAGAAGGAACAGAAACACAAGACAGGAGAGAGAAAGACAACCCAGAGGAGAAAAGGAAAGAGGAAAGGGGAAGAGGAAGAAGAAAAAGAAAAAGAAAAAATGAGGAATCAGGTTAAGTCATGGGTGTTCTGAAGTTTGGAGCATTTTACAATGTAGTGGGAGAGGAAGGCATCTACAGAGACGAAGCGAGGGCTAATACACAACTAATACACAACTTTCCTTGTATGAACCTTAGCCCTGGCTTCGTCTCTGTGGATGCCTTCCTCTCCCACTACATTGTAAAATGCTCCAAACTTCAGAACACCCATGACTTAACCTGATTCCTCATTTTTTCTTTTTCTTTTTCTTCTTCCTCTTCCCCTTTCCTCTTTCCCTTTCTCCTCTGGGTTGTCTTTCTCTCTCCTGTCTCGTGTTTCTGTTCCTTCATTTATTTCACCACTTCCCCTTTCACGCACCTCTGTGCACTTGCTCTCCCTCTGTGGGCATCTAGCTCTCTTGCAGTGCTCCCCTTCCTTTGTATTTGACTGGCTCGTCTTCCTTATTTCCCACTTCTACCACTACCACTACTACTACCTCTTCTTCTTCTACTACTACTCAACCACTGATGAAATTGAGACACATGTGGGGCGTCTGGTTGTCTTTGTTGTGGACGTTTCGCCATCCAGTGGCTGGCTGGATGGCGAAACGTCTACGATGGGGATGCCCGGGTGTTGTGCATGTGTCTTAATTTCATCTTGTCGGTATTATATACAATTCTTGTACTACTACTACTACCACCTCCACCTCTTCCTGCCTATATATAGCCATCCTGCTCCACCTCTGGTTAGTGTGACTTTGTCAATGGTCCAAGTCGGACCGAAACGTTGTCGTAAGCTTCTCTCTTTTATGTGCGGGTTATTTGTGTGGCCTTATATGCTAGAAAATACAATACTTGCAACCAGTTGTAATGTCTGTTCATTATACACTTATGTTCATGCAACTTAAAGATATATTGATCTGATATGGATAATAGGGTACAGTATAATGAAATAACATTACATTGGTTATAAGTGGTGCTGGGTTTGATGTAAATATTGTGATAATCATTCCATAGTCTTGATTTAACTTAGTAATGTTTCACATTATTATTATTATTACATTCATGGGGAATGTGAAGGTCATGCAGCAGTGCCTCGGGAATGGAAGGCAATCAGGTTTGATCCAAGGAAGGTGAAGGTAGTTCTAACTCCATGGATCAAGAGCCCTTCACCAGCATCAAGACACTTCCCCCTTCAGTGGTTAAGATTAACTAGCTTGCCACCTTTTGTACACACTTTACTGGACATTTAATGAGTTCAAATCCCAGACTAGTCCTTTATTTATTTTGTATTGAGTAGTGAATGAAAGTAGGGAAGGTACAGTATCTAAGGATTGGCACAGAGCATAACAAGTTTGTATGAGAAAAAGAAAAAAAAAGATAGTGTTAGAATTATAGGTAAATAAGCCTGTTGAGTATACCAGGTAAAGTGTATGGTAAAATTATTACTGAAAGAATTGGGAATAAGACAAAATAAGATTGCAGAGGGGCATGGATAATCTAAGAAGGGTATGGGATATGTAGACTAAGTGTCTACATTGAAGCATATAAGTAAACAGTATACTTCAATAAGGGTAATTATCTGTTTGTTGCATTTATGGATTTAGAAAAGGCATATGATAAGTGAGCAATGTGGCAGATATTGCAAATGTATGGAATAGGTGGTAGGTTACGCATAAGTATGATAAAGCACCTAAATTACTGGGAATGGTTGAAGTCCCTTGATTTGTATTTCCTGGAACACAGGCAAGAAAGATACATAATAATATACACCTAAAAAATCCTAGAGGGGTTGGTACCAAACTTGCACACAAAAATCACTCCCTGTGAAAGCAAAAGACTTGGCAGGAGATGCAACATTTCCCCAATGAAAAGCAGGGGTGCCATGAGTACACTGAGAGACAACACAATAAGTGTCAGGGGTTCAAGACTGTTCAACTGCCTCCCAGACCCCTGGCTGTCTTCAAGAAGGCACTGGACAGGCACCTAAAGTCAGTCCCTGACCAGCAGAGCTGTGGTTTGTACATCAGTTTCTGTGTGGCCAGCAGTAACAGCCTGGCTGATCAGACCTTGATCCACCATGAGGCCTGATCTCAGACCAGGCCATGGGGGCATTGACCCCCAAAACCCTGTCCAGGTATACTCCAGGTAAGTAGTGAAGAGTTTTTATGCAGAGAATGAGGCTCAGGTTAGGGTAGAGGAGGACTATTTCTCATTGAAAACAGGATTCAGACAGGGATGTGTGATGTCACAATAGTTGTTTGGCATATTTAAAGATGGGGTTACAAAAGAAGTGAATGCTAGTGTTGGGGAGTTTTTTAATATATGTACTGGCCATCTCTTAATGAGGTATGGTGACCCCCAAAAAAGAAGAAACACACTATCATTCTTCAATCACTGTCTTGCCAGAAGTGTGCTGACATCACAGTTCAGATGACCCTTCACACTGCAACATCATCCCTCCTTTAGAGTGCAGGCACTATGCTTTCCACCTCAAGAATTTGAGTTAGGCTGACTGGTTCACAAATGTTATATACCTTGCTCACACTCCAATAGCACGTCAAGTTGTAATAACCACTTGTCTCTACTCACTCTGATCTGACAAGCTCACACCATGGTATGGGATTGATGAATTTGATACATAGTGAGAGGCATCATGGTTGCTCTTTGCCAGTGGCATTTCTTTTGTGAGATTCTGAAGATAAGTTACAAAGGTTGTTAGATGAATTTAGGAGGGTATGTAACAGAAGGAAATTAAAACTGAATCCAGAAAAATAGCAGTGATGAGAAAAGCTAAAAGTCTATGAAGAATAAAAAGGCACAAAGTCTATACAAAAGTTTGTGGAAGATAGAATATCATGTTAGAGTGAAGGAATATGTATGGAGGAAGTGTTTAGATATCTGGTAGTGGACATGTCAGCAAATGATTCTTTGAATAACAGGGTGAACCTTAGATAAGATAGGGGGCATAAAGATAGATGGTGTGTTAAGGCATCTGTGGAAAGAAAGAAAGAAAGAAGTTTATATATGGAGGTAAAGCTGTCAAATATGTACCTTGTTGTCATGTTTGACAGCAATGCGTGGTGTGAATGTTGCGCAGAGAATTCAATGTGTAGAAATTAGAAGACGATGTGGGACCATGAAGGGTATACGGTAATTCAGAGGGATGAGAAGAGGCTGTTGAGGTGGTTTAAACTTTAGAGAATTATTATATTATAATAAAAAAAAAGCGCTAAGCCACAAGGGCTATACAGCAAACTTTAGAGAAGAGGGTGTTTAAATGTGAGGTTGAAGGAAGGAGAGGTAGGAGTCATTTCGGATGATGAAGGCAGGGGTTTGAGCATCTAGTAGGCTTGTGTGAGCTTATTACCTAATAGTGAGTGGAGACAAGTGGTTTCTAATGCTTGATGTGCTGTTAATATACGAACAAGGTATTATTTATGAAAGAGTTCAGAAAAACTGGTTAGCTGGACTTGAGTCCTGAAGGTGGGAAGGACAGTGCCTGCACTCTGGAGAGGTGGAGACAATGCAGTCAAATAGTTCTGATTTGTGATATGTATAAGCACAGTTCTGGCAAAATGGCAAGTGAATTAATGATTGTGAATGCATTTCATTTTCTTGGGCTACCCTTCCTTGGGAGATGGCCCACGAGTTAAAAAATAAAAATTATAAACCCTGTTTTATTAGTGATGTCTTTTTAATTCTCAAATATAAATTCTTCTTAGGTTTTTACCCACCAAATCAAGATGAAGTATATGATGAGGATGGCCCTGGTGGAGATTTTGACTTTTTATCTCACCTGTGTTATGACTGGGAAAATGCAGCAAATCTTCCATCCCATCTTGATGTAAGAACAGTCAAGATAAGAATAGGTATGGGCTTCTAAGTTTTTAACTGATAAACTAATATTTTGTATATTATTTATTCATTACATTATTCCAGGTATTGTATTCTGTTAAACTATACTGCTGTCATAATAAGGGAAAAAGATTGAACAAATATGGATTAATATAATCTATAAAACTGTAAAAAAAATTACCTGATTTTAATTTATAATAAATTCTTCCTGTAAACATCTACAATACATTTCATAAAATTGATAAATTCATAGTTTTTGCAAAATAGTGAACCAAGAGTAGAACATCAAAAGTTTGCAGTCAGAGTCTTTCGATAATTGTAAAGTTTCTTATGGTACAGTCAACCTTCCATATCCATGGGTTCCGCATCTGCGGATTAAGCCAACCGCAGATAAAAAAAAAAAAAAAAAAAAAAAGTTCCAGGAACCAAAATTTGAATTTGCCGCATACCTTAACCTAAGCCTAGAGAAGCATTTCCATACTAGACAGTAATCTAAGCTCCTGTTCATGACCCAATAATGAATTATGTAAACTGTTTTGTATAAAATTAATAAATTAAAAAAATAACTGTAAATAAAAATTTGTTGGCGGTTAGGAGCAGTAGGCTAAGGTAAACCGGACAATAGAGTTGGACTACGGGTAGCAGCAGTAAGTTAATTCACCTCTTTACCATCAAACCACCTGGAAATAATATTTTCACTCGCCTCAACCCATTCTGATATTAACCCCTTAACTGTCCAAACATTGATCTACATTCTTACCATGTTGAAAGCAATGTGTGGTGTGAATATCATACAGAGAATTAGGTGCTTAGAAATTAAAATGCAAAATGAAGTCACCAAGGGTATACTTCAGAATAATAATTTTTTTTTTTTTTAACAAGTTGGCCGTCTCCCACTGAGGCAGGGTGACCCAAAAAGAAAGAAAATCCCCAAAAAGAAAATACTTTCATCATCATTCAACACTTTCACCTCACTCATATATAATCACTGTTTTTGCAGAGGTGCCCAGAACACAACAGTTTAGAAGCATATAAGTACATACGTATAAAGATGCACAACATATCCCTCCAAACTGTCAATATCCCAGACCCCTCCTTTAAAGTGCAGGCATTGTACTTCCCATTTCCAGTACTCAAGTCCAGCTATATAAAAATAACCAGATTCCCTGAATCCCTTCACTAAATACACTACTCACACTCCAACAAACTCGTCAGGTCCCAAATACCATTCGTCTCCATTCACTCCTATCTAACATGCTCACGCATGCTTGCCGGTCCAAGGCCCTCACCCACAACACCTCCTTTACCCCCTCCCTCCAACATTTTCAAGGACGACCCCTACCCCGCCTTCCTTCCCCTACAGATTTATACACTCTCCATGTCATTCTTTGATCCATTCTCTTTAAATGACCAAACCACCTCAACAACCCCTCTTAAGCCCCCTGACTAGTACTTTTATTAACTCCACACCTCCTAATTTCCACAATCCAAATTCTCTGCATAATATTTACACCACACATTGCCCTTAGACAGGACATCTCCACTGCCTCCAACCGCCTCCTCGCTGCAGCATTTACAACCCAAGCTTCACACCCATATAAGAGTGTTGGTACCACTATACTTTCATACATTCCCTTCTTTGCCTCCATAGATAATGTTTTCTGTCTCCACATATACCTTAATGCACCACTCGCCTTTTTTCCTTCATCAATTCTATGGTTAACCTCAACCTTCATACATCCATCCGCTGACACGTCAACTCCCAAATATCTGAAAACCTTCACTTCTTCCATACTCCTCCTCTCCAATTTGATATCCAATTTTTCTTTATCTAAATCATTTGATACCCTCATCACCTTACTCTTTTTTATGTTCACTTTCAACTTTCTACCTTTACACACTCTCCCAAACTCGTCCACTAACCTTTGCAACTTTTCTTTAGAATCTCCCATAAGCACAGTATCATCAGCAAAAAGTAACTGTCAATTCCCATTTTGTATTAGATTAACCATAATTTAATCCTACCCCTCTCCCCAACACCCTAGCATTTACTTCTTTTACAACCCCATCTATAAATATATTAAACAACCATGGTGATATTACACATCTCTGTCTAAATCCCACCTTTACCAGGAACTAAAATTTTGCCTCGCATAGCACTAAAAAACTCGCTCAACGCTATTTGTCCGAGACGCGTCTATGCGAGGCCTGAGCCAGCCTCGCATGTTCCGCCGGTGGCATTGTTTACAAGCCAGCCTCCGCAGTAACATCCAAGCACACAATTGGAACATTTCGTATTATTACAGCGTTTTTGGTGATTTTATCTGCAAAATAAGTGACCATGGGCCCCAAGAAAGCTTCTAGTGCCAACCCTGTGGTAAAAAGGGTGAGAAATATTATCGAAATACTGTGGTACCATGGTCAATTGCTGCTGCTGCTGCTGCTGTAGCACTGTCAGCTGCTGCTGCTGCTGTAGCACCGTCAGCTGCTGCTGCTGCTGTAGCACCGTCAGCTGCTGCTGCTGCTGTACCACCGTCAGCTGCTGCTGCTGCTGTAGTACAGTCTGCTGCTGCTGTAGTACAGTCTGCTGCTGCTGTAGTACAGTCTGCTGCTGCTGCTGCTGTAGTACAGTCTGCTGCTGCTGCTGCTGTAGCACTGTCAGCTGCTGCTGCTGCTGTAGCACTGTCAGCTGCTGCTGCTGCTGCTGTACCACCATCAGCTGCTGCTGCTGTAGTACCGTCTGCTGCTGCTGCTGCTGTACCACCGTCAGCTGCTGCTGCTGCTGTAGTACCGTCTGCTGCTGCTGTAGCACTGTCAGCTGCTGCTGCTGCTGCTGTAGCACTCAGCTGCTGCTGCTGTAGCACCATCAGCTGCTTCTGCTGCTGTACCACCATCAGCTGCTGCTGCTGCTGCTGCTGTAGTACTGTCTGCTGCTGCTGTAGCACCGTCTGCTGCTGCTGTAGCACCGTTGTTGGTGTGGCTTATTGAGAATACCAAGAAACAATTAACCCCAGAGGGTTAGCCACCCAGGATAACCCAAAAAAGTCAGTGTCATCGAAGACTGTCTAACTTATTTCCATTGGGGTCCTTAATCTTGTCTCCCAGGATGCAACCCACACCAGTCGACTAACACCCAGGTGAACAGGGAAAAATGCCTGGAACTAGTGCTCATATTGGTGAATTTAAAGCCAGCAAAGGTTGGTTTGAGAGATTTAAGAATCGTAGTGGCATACACAGTGTGATAAGGCATGTTCTGGAAGAAAATGCCAAACAGGACCTACAGTACTCAGGAGGAAAAGGCACTCCCAGGACACAGTCTCATCAGTCATTGCTGCATCTTCAATAAAGGTAAGTGTCATTTATTCTTCATTTAGTAGAGTAGTACATGCACAATATATATTGTGCATGTACTACTATTTCATGTGGTAAAAATTTTGTTTTCATACTTTTGGGTGTCTTGCATGAATTAATTTGATTTCCATTATTTCTTATGGGGAAAATTCATTCGCATAACGATAATTTCGCATAACAATGAGCTCTCGGGAACGGATTAATATCGTTATGCGGGGGTCCACTGTACTTGCAACATCTGCCACATTGCTCCAAAACCCACTCTATCATATGCCTTTTCTAAACCCATAAATGCAATGAAAACTTCCCTACCTTTATCTAAACACTGTTCACATATATGCTTCACTTGATCCACACATCCCCTACCAACTCTAAAACCTCCTTGCTCATCCGCAATCCTACATTCTATCTTGCCTCTAATTCTTTCAGTTATAACCCTACCATACACTTTTCCTGGTATACCCAGTAAACTTATTCCTCTATAATTTTTACAATCTCTTTTGTCCCCCTTACCTTTATATAAAGGAATTATACATGCTCTTTGCCAATCCCTAGGTACCTTCCCCTCTTTCATACATTTATTAACCCTTTCAGGGTCCAAGGCCCAAATCTGGAGTCACGCACCAGTGTCCAAGAATTTAAAAAAAAAAATTTGTTATTTTTTCTTATGAAATCGTAGAGAATCTTTTTGTGAAGGTAATAAAACAAAAAGTACGAAATTTGGTGGAAAATTGACGAAATTATGCTCTCGCGAATTTTGATGTGTCAGCGATATTTACGAATCGGCGATTTTGCCGACTTTGACTCCCATTTTAGGCCAATTACATTATTCCAATCAACCAAATTCTTAGCTATTTCACTAGTATTACTTCTATTCTATCGATTGAGCACAAGAAATCGCCAAGTCAACTGTTTCAACTACAAAATAAAGTGATCGGAAATTGTTAATTTGGCCAATTTAACACAAAGTTCAAAATATTCCAATTTCAAAATAGGGTCCAGAATGAACAATGTAGGCATTCCTGGCACTAAACTAACATTTCCTCTGTTCATTAGTTATGTTTTGAGGCTTTACAAATAAATTCCATTTTGATTTTTTATTCACATAATGAATTTTTATTCACACCAAAAAATAGAAGATTTACTGTTATGCAATACTGTAATAATTGTATAAATATCATCACCATATTTGTGAATGTATATTAGACCCACCAGCTGACGTGTATTAGACGTGTGAGGTCGTTTGTTTACTCTTGAATATCGGCAAAAATTTAACATTTCTGCTACTTTGAGCTCAGTTTCAAGCCATTTCCAGTGCTAAAACCAATCAAAATCATCTCTATTTCTGTAATATGTCTTCCATTCTATCAAATGAGACCATGAAATCGCAAATACAACTATAAAAAACATACGAAAAAACACTGCAAAGTTGCTGTTTTAATCGAAAAATCATGATTTCATTTTTTTTTCTCTCATTATACACAGTGTGCTGCAGGATCTGTTTTATGTGGTGCACACATACCACATAGATGTATTCTCTCATATCTAGGCCCAAATGTACCACTCGCAGTTTATCAGAGTGAGCTGAGCTCATGGCGTAGATCTACGGTTTGGACCCTGAACGTAAAGCCGTAGATCTACGGGACGGACCCTGAAAGGGTTAAACAAAAATACCAACCACTCCAACACTATATCCTCCCCTGCTTTTAACATTTCTGTACTGATCCTGTCAGTTCCAGCTGCTTTACTCCCTTTCATTCTGCGTAATGCCTCATGCACCTCCCCCACGCTCACATCCTGCTCTTCTAAACTCCTAAAAGATGGTATACCTACCTGGCCAGTGCATGAAATTACTGCCTCCCTTTCATTGTTGACATTTGGAAGTTCCTCAAAATATTTCTGCCATCTACCCAGTACCTCCATCTCCCCATCTACTAACTCCCCTACTGTGTTTTTAATTGACAAATCCATTCGTTCCCTAGGCTTTCTTAACTTGTTTATCTCTCCAAATTTTTTTTCTTATTTTCATTAAAATTTCTTGACAGTGCCTCTCGCGATCTATCATCTGCTCTTCTTTTACACTCTCTCACCACTCTTCACCTTTCTTTTACTCTCCATATACTCTACTCTTCTTATAACACTTCTGCTTTGTAAAAACCTCTTATAAGCTACTTTTTTCTCTTTTATCACACCCTTTACTTCATCATTCCACCAATCACTCCTCTTTCCTCCTGCACCCATCCTCCTATAGCCACAAACTTCTGCCTCACATTCTAATACTGCACTTTTAAAACTATTCCAACCCTCCTCAATCCCCCCCATTACTCATTCTTGTACTAGCCCACCTTTCTGCCAATAGCTGCTTATATCTCACCCAAACTTCTTCCTCCCTTAGTTTATACACTTTCACCTCTCTCTTACTTCTTGTTGCCATTTTCTTTTTGTCCCATCTATCTCTTATTCTAACTATAGCTACAACTAAATAATGATCCGATATATCAGTTGCCTCTCTATAAATATGTACATCATGAAGCCTACCCATCAACCTTTTATCCACCAACATAAAATCTAACAAACTACTTTCATTACATGCTATATCATACCTTGTATATTTATTTATCCACTTTTTTATAAAATATGTATTACTTATTACCAAACCTCTTTTGACACATAGCTCAATTAAAGGCTCCCCATTTTCATTTACCCCTGGCACCCCAAATTTACCTACTACTCCCTCCACAACATTTTTTTCCCACTTTCTCATTGAAATCCCCAACCACAAGTACTCTCACACTTGGTTCAAAACTCCCCACACACTCAATTCCCAAAACCTCTCTCTCTTCTCCAGGTGCATATACACTTACTATAACCCACTTTTCATATTCAACCTTTATTTTAATCCACATAATCCTTCAATTAATACATTTATACTTTCTCTTTTCCTGCCATAGCTTATCCTTCAACATTATTGCTACTTCCTCTTTAGCTCTAACTCTATTTGAAACCCCTGACCTAATCCCATTTACTTCTCTGCACTGAAACTCTCCCACCCCCCTTCAGCTTTGTTTCACTTAAAGCCAGGACATCCAGCTTATTCTCATTCATAGCATCCACAATCATCTCTTTCTTATCATTTGCACAACATCCACACACATTCAGACATCCCACATTGACAATTTTCTTCTTTTTAGTAATCTTTACAGGAAAAGGGGTCACTAGCCTATTGTTCTTGGCATTTTAGTTGACTTTTACAACACTCATGGCTTACGGAGGAAAGATTCTTATTTCACTTCCCCATGGATATAAAAGGAAAAGTAACAAGAACAAGAACTATTAAGATAAAATCAAAGAAAACTCAGATGAATGTGTATAAATAAACGTGTACATGTATGTGTAATGTGACCTAAGTGTAAGTAGAAGTAGCAAGACGTACCTGTAATCTTGCATATTTATGAGACACAAAAGACACCAGCAATCCTACCATCATGTAAAACAATTACAGGCTCTCGTTTTACACTCACTTGGCAGGACAGTAGTACCTCCGTGGGTGGTTGCTGTCTACCAACCTACTACCTATAATAATATATTCAAATAAAGCATTCAGCCCTGGATATAGTTCAGAAGAGTGAGGAGGGGTTGTTGAGGTGATTTGGGCATGGAGAGAGAGATGTTGCATAAATCAGGGGTGGAAGGTTGGAGGGGTATGAGTCATTCCAGGAATGGATGGAGGGGCAAAAGAGGCTTTGAGCTTTAGGAGCTGGAACATCCAACAGGCTTATACAAATTCATTAGGAGTGAATGGAGACAAGTGTTTTTTTTTTTTTTTAATGGATGTGGTGTTCGAGTGTGAGCAAGGTAACTTTTATGAAGGTATTCAGGGAAATCACTTAGCTGGACTTGAATTTCAGAGGTGAGAAAGATAGTGCCTTCACTCTGAAGGAGTGGTGAGAATGTTGCAGCCAGAGGGGTAATCCAAATTGTGATGTCAACATACTTTTGGAAAGACAACAGTTGAATGAATGATGGTAAATGTGTTTCCTTCTTTGGGTTACTCTGCCTGTAGTGTGGAAGATGATGTAAAATATTAACAGTAATTTTAAAGCAGATAAAACTCCAGTCTTGAAATAGCTTTATAACCAGTTCATCTGGAAAAGTTGAGCATTATGTGGGCTTTCCAATTGCACATACAGTAAACTGTAAACCTGTAATCATATGTACCCTTAGATAGTAATTTTTATGTATTTATATTTATATTTCCATTAACCTGTAGCTTGAAAAATATATTAGGCATCTTGATTGCTGAGTCTTTCATATTTTTGACACCACTGAAGTTACTGTTCTTGATTCTTGCAGGAGTGGTACTTGGTCGTCAGGGTGGAATGATTAAGCAGCTCATATTTCCATTTTATATGGGCTTTGGGGGACCTGTGGGAAGTGGAGATCAACCTATGCCCTGGATTCACGTTGAAGATATAGTTGGTATTTTTATCCATGCAATCGAGTCGGAAAATGTCACTGGAATAGTCAATGGAGTAGCTCCACAAATTATAACAAACAAAGAATTTGCTACAGCTTTTGGAAAAGCTCTTTGGAGACCATCAGTTGTACCCTTACCGACATTTGCTATAAATATGCTGTTCAGTGAAGAGCGAGGTAAAATTATGACTGAGGGACAAAAGGTAATTCCAAAGAAAGCCCTTAGAACAGGGTATTCATTTAAATACCCAAACATTACATGTGCAGCAAAAGAATTCTCAAAAATTATATATGCAGATGAGCTAAATATGTAGACTTGGGTCAAGGTATGTGAAATATTTAAGTTAATCCATCCTTAACATTTTTTTTTTTTTTCATTTTATAGCATTGAAAACAAATATAAGTAGTACTGAATCGTGCCTTCCTTTTGAACAAAAATGAATAGTCTTAAATTGCTGTTTTGGATGGTAAACAAAGGATTACATAAGTGTACAAAGCTTTTTGCACCTTTGACTGGTTTAAGGTTTTTCTACTCCCACAGCCCAGCTAGTGGCCACACTTCATCAGCCAGGTTTTTGCTACCTGCAGCTGTATAACCCTTGTGGTTTAGCACTTCTTTTTTATTATAATAATAATTTGCTACCTGCAGGTCCACATAGCCATCACAGCTTAGCTGATCTGGCACGTTATTTGCAGAAATTTGTCTATTTGACACTCAAAGATTAATACCATTGTACCAGTAATATTTGCTAGTGGAAGACTGAAGAGTCTTGGGCCTAGTATGTTGACAGTGTTCGCTAATAGTGCTTATGTTATTCCTACTTTCATTTACTGTATCTTACATTTTAATGCTTCATATGTACTCAAATGATTGTTTATGAATGACATTATATTGGATTACTGCTACACTACACTTGTCAATGTATGAAGCATCTACTGTACTGAATAACCTTTATGTATATCATGTTTTCATAATAAGTAACAATACCATGGTTGCTACACTATTTATTTTTTTTATTAACACTGGTCATTTCCCACCAAGGTAGGGTGGGCCGAAAAAGAAAAACTTAGGGTAGCAGTCTTGGCGCAATTTACGCATCGGAGATATCGCCCAACTTGATTCCTCTTTCAGGCCAACTCCATTGTTCCAGTTGACTAAATTTTTAGCTATTTCGCTAGTACAGTGGACCCCCGCTTAACGATCACCTCCCAATGCGACCAATTATGTAAGTGTATTTAAGTAAGTGCGTTTGTACGTGTATGTTTGGGGGTCTGAAATGGACTAATCTACTTCACAATATTCCTTATGGGAACAAATTCGGTCAGTACTGGCACCTGAACATACTTCTGGAATGAAAAAATATCGTTAAACGGGGGTCCACTGTATTCCTTCCATTCTGCCAATTGAACACAAGAAACTGCCCATTCAACTATTTCAGCTGCTCTAAAAAAAGTGATCAGAATTTAGTAATTTGGCTACTTTCACATAAAATTTAAAAACAGTCCATAATAAACTATGTAGACATTTCTATCACAAACAATATTTCCTCTGTTCATCAGTTGTGTTGCCAACCCTCTTGTATATTACACTTGCTTTCCATTTTGAATTCTTATTCACACAAAAATAGAAGACTTTATTCCTGGATATTATTATTATTATAATCAAAATGAAGTGCTAAGCCACAAGGGCTATACAGCTATTCCTGGATAACAAAAAAAAAAATATATATGTATAACCAGGAAAGATTGGTCATGAGTTACAGAGTCCCAATAATTGAATCAGACCTATTAAAACCCACAAAACAGACTGGGGGTTGTAGGGGGCTTTACCCGTCCTCTGGAATATTGGCAAAAATCAAATATTTATGCTACTTTGGTGCTGTATAGCCCTTGCGGCTTAGCGCTTCTTTTTTATAATAATAATAATAATAATATGCTACTTTGAGCTAAGTTTCAAGCTACTTCCAGTCATGAAACCAATCAAAAGCATCTCTATTTCAATAATATGTTCCATCTATCAAATTATACCAAGAAACAGCTAATAAAACCATAAAAAAAAACATCTGAGAAAACATTACAGGGTCACAGTTTTGCTTTTCCCATCATGCACTGCGAGGGGCAGGATTTTTTTTATATGGGGCGCTTGCCCCACAGACCTATTCTCTCATATCTATGACAACATTTACTGCTCACAGCTTATATGAGCTGAGCTGAGCTCATGAAGTAGAACTACATTAGAGACCCTGGCCTTAATGATGTAGATCTACGTGACGAATGGCAAAAAGGTAAAAGGAAGATAATGACAGAAATCAAATGTATTATATAATTTCCTATATTCCTATAGAGTAAAAATCCCTTCAGAAAAAAAAAGTAAAAAACTTGTTAATATAAAGAACTAATAGATTCTAACTTTTTATATACCAAAGTATAAAGCCTCACCACACCTTATTGACTCAAATTTAACCATTTTGATAGACTGGAAATGTAAAGCATTTCCAACAATTCTCCATACACTGCTTCAACTTTGTGACTATTAGGTAAGTGGATACAATAAAGTTTTAAAGACAGCAAGAGTAAATCATCATTTATTAACATGCAAGACATTTCACCTAGGTATCTAAATCATATGAACCAGTAATAGTAATTGTGCCTTTTTATCACCATATGATGAAACCATAAAATACAGCAAACATTTATTTATCTGTTAAACAGTTTTAATGTGAATTCATAAAATAAAAGCCAAAAATTAAGTGAAAACTATGCTAGTATTTCATTTATTGGTAATATTTAAAAAATAAAGAAATTAGAAAGATGATCTGCATTTAAAATGAAACCATTCAGTTTTGAATATCACCTAAAAATACTGCAAACAGAGAAGGCTTTGTGATATTTCAATAAATTCATTTTATTAAAAATTTAAGTCTTGCATAACTCTATTGGTACAGGCATACCTTGCCAATATAGCACTTCCCTTTACTAATATAGTGCTTTTCAATTATTTTCAGCATTGATGTGCACATCAGGTTAGCAATACAGTATTATAGCATTTTTTATTATTTTTTTACTTTTGCATTGTTTTTTCAGCCTCGTGCTATTGCGCACTTAATAAATGATAGTGTAAACCTGCTTTTATGTATACGGCTGTGATTCACTTTAAGGCGATACTCGCTTTATGGCAGTGGTCTGGAACATAAGCCGCCACATTAGCAAGGTATGCCTATATTTATATTGCAGTAGTTTTGGCTACTCTCTCATACTTTAACGTAAGAGCTAACTTTTCCAACTGGTCTATTTCGCGTTGTTTACCTGTATCTCTCAGCCAAGCCTGCATGAAAAATGCATTAGTTAATTTATAATGTGTCAAATACTTAAATCTATTTATGCAAATTATTGTCAGCCATGAAACATATTATACATACAGTATTATCAATTATATTTATTGAGAAATATTGTGATTATTTTGCAAGTTTAATCTCCCAAATCTGACAAGATTTTATAAAAAAAATTATGTATCTTGGCACTTATAAAAAAGTTGTTAAAATAAGCAAAAATTGGTGTCAAGCATGTTCTAATATATTTTTGCAAATAGGTTCATGAAGGAATAAAATGAATGAGACAAATTTGCTTGGACAACAATTAAATCACTTAACTTTGTCAGATTAGGGGTTTGCCGCATAGTGCTGCTATGCAGCAAACTTGTACATGGAGTCCCCAGCTTATAAATACCTGAGGTATGAATATGCACACTGAACACCATAAGAAATACTTGAAAATAATTACAGGAGGGCCCCGCTTTACAGCGCTTTGCTAATACAGTGGTTTTCAATTATGCCATTCTTCATTAATTCTGACTACCTACAACAAATATATTTACCACTCACTATAAGCTAGGTACGAAAATATTTTAAGCTAACTAATGTATGTACTATATATGCATTTTTTGGCCTAATTTTATTGCCTACTTAATATATGATAGTGTAAACATGTTATCAGGCCTTTATATGCAGTTGAAAGTGAAAAAAAAAAGGCTATGTTTCACTTTACAGTGAGTACTGCTTTACAACAGTAGCCTGGAACCTAACCTGCTGAATAAAGATAAAGATAAGTAAAGGTTACAATGTGTAATTACAATTTTGGTTTGCTAAGTACAAAGAAAACCACTATCATGCCGGGGCATTTTGGGCAGACTAATCCTAATGCATAATAACTACTTAAATCTAGACAAGATAAGAGTGGTTAACTTGTATAAAAATCTTTATTTAATCTTAATACTAATGTGAGGTAGTCAAGGTGGAGGTTCATAAGAATAACAATCTTGAAGTTGCACATAAAAATAATATTACAAATAATGGTTCAAACAATAATATTTCACGGATTGGCAGATGTTTAATAGACTAAAGGTCATATAATATTTGGGAGAGTTGCTTCAAACTGATTAGAAGTTGTTTTGGTTAGTATTGAGAGATGAGATGATTTTTAAGTCCTAAATTTATAAGTAGTCAGGGGATCCTTTACCGGTTCAGGTAGTGAATTTCAAATCTTCGGGCCCCTTTATGTGCATTGCATTTTTGCAGTGTGAGACTGACACGAGGGATGTTGAATGCCTTATGCCTTGTACTGTGATTGTGTTCTGTATTTAGTGAACGCCAATCCACTGTTATGAGTCAAACAAATGTCTCGCACAACCATTATCTGTACTAGTGTTTTCTATGGGACAATAAGTCCCAAATTACATACAACTCATTTGTAAACTGGAACACCAGAAACCCTACTCAGAAGGTTTAATAAAGGCCATCATATAATATTCCTGCCACTTACCATCTCCACAGAAAAATACTCAACTCTACAGCACATTTGCAACATATTTAGAATTTTAAAAGTATGTTTATTTTTATTTGTTTGTAAACAATGCAAAAAATCAAGTTTACCTCAGCACATGCAGGGAAAGAATGCAGGAAAAATCAATCAAAAAACAACTAACAGTCAGTAAAAATGTGGATCTCATGAAAGACTGGAAGACCAACACATGCTGCTATACAATCACTACTGCCACAAACACTTGTATGCATATGAAAGTAACATAGTAATGGTGAGGAATTGAGTGAAATGAAGTAGATCTAGATCAAAAAAAAAATTTAAACATTTGCATACTACATGTAACAGTCATAGAAAAATTAAGATAAAATCTGTGGGTAAAGAAAAGAATATTATTTTTGAGATACTCTGTGGTAGTGATGCATAATGTTAGTCCAGGAAAAGTCACATAACTGTCCAGTGTAAATGTACAAATACAGTAAAACCTCAATAAAATGGGCCTCTATAAAGTGGCTATCAATAAAAATAGTAATGTAGCTGACCAAATCTATTATATCACATGGTTGTCCAGACGACTTGTACCATCAATAAAATGGAGAAAGTCCCATTAATTTGCAAGTTTGTCTGGTCCTGGACTTGTACTACATACATCCATTTTCACTGTTCTTGGGCAGAGGGGCCAGTGATTCAGCCTGTGTTAGCTTGTTATTGTTTGTGTGCATGCTTAGATATCATTACTTTATTAAAGTGCACTTATTAACAGTGGCCTCTAAAGCAAGTGATGTGCATGACCTTGACTGTTAAGCAGAAACTTGAATTAATAAAGAAGCTGGAAGTAGACATTTCAGTGGCCCAGGTATATGACGGGTATGGTGTAGCAAAACTGTGTGACATTTGTAGAAGAAACAGCTTACAGCATATGCTATGAAGAGTGTAGAGGCTAGCCTAGAAAGTTCTTCCGTTATTCTTGGAAAGTGTAAGAAAATGGTCTAAGACAGAAGGGTTGAAGCAGCAGTGCATAAATAGTATGCTGAACGTGCTGCTGGTGTTAACATTCAATATGCTGAGCTTGACTCTGCCATTTATTTTATCACTTAATACCACCTCTATGATCCAAATAATGAATCAGGAAATTACTGTAGCATACAAGAAGTTGTATCAGTCAAGACACTTAGATGAAGTACTGGTAGTAACTGACGAAAAAGATTTGGAAAAAGATAGCAAAGGCCACTGTACATTAGAAAGCATCAAAAAGTATAACCTATAGTCTGCCATCTTCAACATTATGGCATCATGGACAGAAATGAAAAAGACAACACTAGCTAATTTGAGGAGAACCTATTGATACTGAGTTAGACTTTGAGGGTTGGAGGCCACTGATTTTCATTAAACCCTTCAGAAGGCAGGAGAGACAGGTGTTATGGAAGAAGATGTCATTGAATGGTTGAAAGAAAATGATGGGGATGTTGCATGATGCAGAAATTGTGCAAGAATGGTATATAATACCGACAAGATGAAATTAAGACACATGTGCAACATCTGGGTATCTTTATTGTAGATGTTTTGCCATCCAGTGGCTTTATCAATACAAATTCTAGGACATAACTTGAAGACAGTAGGACTATATACAGAAGATGAGGTAATCAGTCCCTCAACCTAGGAGTAGGTTGAGGGATGGCAAAACGTCTACAATAAAGATACCCAGATGTTGCACGTGTCTTAATTTCATGATGCAGAAATTGCAAACAAAGCGATCAGTAACCGCCCCCTCCCATGAGTGAACAGGATAATGGTGATGAAGTAGAAGAAACTGATGTTACCAAAACTGTCAACAGTATGAGATGTGACATGTTCTCATCACATAGACTGACATCTCAGACAAAAGTGCACATCTATTATCAGAACCTTCACACTTTTAGTGAATTTGTCATAAGGAAGCAGCCTCAGTGTGTGAAACAAATGAAGCTGGATTCATTCTTTAAATTTATTCCTTGTCCTACATCTCCTACACCATCTACATCTCCATATCTCACATTATCTACCTGTGTGTCTCACACCAGTAATAGTAAGTAGCAAAAATTGCAGTAATAGTATTAAAAATAGCAGTAATAGTACAGTAATTGTAATAGTATTAAAAACAGCAGTAGCAGTAGTAATGGTAGAAGTAATAGTAGCAGCAGTAATAGTCATAATAGTAATGGTAGCAGTAATAGTGATAGTAATAGTAGTAGAAATAATAGTGGTAGTAATAGTAGTAGTAGTAACAGTAGTAGTAGGAATAGTAGTATTTTTTTTTTCAACAAGTCGGCCGTATTATCATAAGTAATAGCAGTAGTAAAAGTAGTGGTAATAGTAGTAGTATTAGCAGTAGTAGAAAAGCATCAATAGTAATATTAGTAGAAGCAGTAGTTGTAGTGGTGTGGCAGTAGTAGTAGCAGTGGTGGTTATGGTAAAACAAGTGATAGTACAAAATAAGAAGAGAACAGTGGAGCACTGAAAGACAGCATCTCTCTTCCTCCCCTTAATCTGTTCTATGGAGGTTTCACTGTATGTATTGTTAATATAAAAATAGCCATGCCTAACTTACCCATAATAGTAAATGCTTCAGGTTTAATTTATAAAACTTAATAAACTTACCTTAAACTTTGCATCAACAGCTTTTTGTAGAATAGCTCGTTGTTCTGGAGAAAGATCTGCATCTCGCACTTCAGCTCGGAAGCTGGAAACGCACTTCCCTGATTCTTCCACACTCTGAGCAGATATCAAAGTATTAGCATGCACTACAAGAAAGCATTAACAAAATGACACACAATTTACCTCTACAGGATTGACTAATGTTGTTTAAGCATACATATATATTTTGAGCAAAAAGTGGTAATAAAGTACTATATTGTAACTTACAGTTTGAATATTAAAATGGTATAAAATACCGACAGGTTGTTAGGTAAGACACATATGCAACAGTTAGGTATCTTTATTTCGAAACGTTTCGCCTACACAGTAGGCTTCTTCAGTCGAGTACAGAAGAGTTGATAGAAGCAGAAGAGACTTGAAGACGATGTAATCAGTCCATCACCCTTAAAGTTTTGAGGTGGTCAGTCCCTCAGTCTGGAGAAGAGCATCGTTCCATAGTCTGAAACATATTGTTTCAGACTATGGAACATAGTCTGAAACATATTGTTTCAGACTATGGAACATAGTCTGAAATATATTGTTTCAGACTATGGAACGATGCTCTTCTCCAGACTGAGGGACTGACCACCTCAAAACTTTAAGGGTGATGGACTGATTACATCGTCTTCAAGTCTCTTCTGCTTCTATCAACTCTTCTGTACTCAACTGAAGAAGCCTACTGTGTAGGCGAAACGTTTCGAAATAAAGATACCTAACTGTTGCATATGTGTCTTACCTAACAACTTATAGTTTTTAAATTCTGACAAGACTTTCTCAAGATGCTGTGAAATAAGTTTTTTTTTAAAAACAACAATTTATAGTAGTGCAATTTTTTAACCCTGATCTTGACTATCCTCATTTTACATTCCCGTTTCTTTTCTCTTACTTTCTCACTTGATGTTTGTTTAGGCAAGAGACTTTCATCCTTTTCCCACATTCCTGCTTCTCACTGAACGTAATTACTCCAATTATATGACAGCTAAACTAATGTATTTTAATACACAGTATCTAAGGAAAAAAGTACACATGGCTTCCTCTGCAAGATTGAGAGTTCCCATGAAACAAATATTCTTCACTTCAATCAATTACATTTCCTTAACAAACACTGCACATTTTCCTCAAATGACAGCAATGTACTGCCATTTCAATGTTTACATTTATTAGCTTTTTTATCTTAATAAAAAATACTGTACAATCAGTTGATATTTATAATAATTTTCTTAATCCTTATCCAGGAGACTTATTGACCAGCAATTCATCAATTCCCTAGGATAAATCTACACTCAGAAGCCACTTTATCAGGTACATTTGTACACCTGCTCATTAACCCTTTGAGGGTCGGGATCCCTGCTCTCAAACCTTCTCTTACGGTTGGAAAATTTTACAAAAAAAAAAAAAAAAAAAATTCTTATGAAATGGTATAGAATCTTTTTTCTGGAAGTAATAAAACAAAAAGTACCAAATTTGGTGAAAAACTGACAAAATTATGCTTTTACGAATTTTGCCGTGTCAGCGATATTTATGCATAGGCGATTTTGCCCATTTTGAGTCAAATTTTAGGCCACTTACATTAATCAAGTCACCAAATTCTTGCTAGTATGCCTTCCATTCTATCGACTGAGTACAAGACACTGCCTATTCAACTATTTCAACTACCCAATAAAGTTATCAGAAACTGGTAATTTAGCCAATCTCACACAAAATTCAAGAAATGCCAATTTCAAAACAGGGCCTGAATAAACAATGCAGACATTCCTGGCACTAAAATAACATTTCCTCTGTTCATTAGTTGTGTCCCCAGGACTCTCAAATATTACACATGAATTCCATTTAGAATTTTTATTTACACACACAAAAAAAAAAAATTACTGTTATGCAGACTAGCGCATTATTGTAATAATTGTATAAATGATGTCACTGCATTCCTAAAAGTGTATCAGACTGGACAGATGGACACGTATTGGACGAGCGACATCATTTGTGTACCTCTAGAGTATCAACAAAAATCAAACATTTCAAGCTTCTTTCAGTCCTAAACCAATCAAAATCATATCTATTTCTGTAATATATCTTCCTTTCTAGTAACCCTTTGGGGGCTTCAGACGTACTAGTACGTCTTACAACCCAGGGTTTTTGACGTACTAGTATGCATAAATTCTAGCGCCCTCAAATCTAGTGAGAGAAAGCTGGTAGGCCTACATATGAAAGAATGGGTCTATGTGGTCAGTGTGCGCAGTATAAAAAAAATCCTGCAGCACACAGTGCGTAATGAGAAAAAAAAAAAAATTGTGTTTTTGGATTAAAACAGCGACTTTGCACTGTATTTTCGTATGGTATTTATTGTTGTATTCTAGTTTTCTTGGTCTCATTTTATAGAATGGAAGACATATTACAGAAATTGAGATGATTTTGACTGGTTATACAATGAAAAGTACCTTGAAATTGAGCTCAAAGTAGCAGAAATGTTCAATTTTTACCAAAGTTCAAAAGTAAACAAATCATGCCAAGCGTCCAATACACATCAACTGGTGATTCTAATATTCTTTCACAAGTGCGCTGATATTATTTATACCATTTCTACACTAATGCAGTAGTCTGCATAACAGTAAATCTTATTTTTTTTGTAAGAATAAAAATTCAAAGTGGAAAACCAAACAAATAAAAGAGAGGCCTGGGGATGTGACTAACGAACAGAGAACTTGTTACTTTAGTGCCAGGAATGTCTTTCTTGTTTATTCTGGACCCTATTCGGAAATTGGCATCTTTTGAAATTTGTGTGAAACTGGCAAAATTGCTAAATTCTGACCACTTTATTGGATAGTTGAAATCGATAAATGGGTGGTTTCTTGTACTCATTTGATAGAAAAAATGGAGTTCTAGTGAAATAGTTATGATTTTTGTCGACTAGTACACTGGAATTGTCCGAAAATAGGGCTCAAAGTGAGCAAAATCGCCTATGCGTAAACATCGTTGAGACCGCTAACTTTGCGAGAGCATAATTCCGTAAGTTTTTCATCAAATTTCATACTTTTGGTGTCATTATGATTGAGAAAAGATTCTCTATCTTTTCATAAGAAAAAATATTTTTTTTTTTTAAATTTGGCCAACCCTGAGAACAAGTCTCTGAGAGGACCTGTCGACCCCCAAAAGGTTAAATGAGACCAAGAAACTGAGAATACAACCATAAAAAATCATACAAAAATACACCACAAAGTTGCTGTTTTAAACCAAAAACAGTCACAGTTTTTCCCCCCATTATACACTGCTTGCTGCAGTTTTTTATATGGTGCACACTTACCACATAGACCCATTCTCTCATATCTAGTCCCAGATTTACTGCTCACAGCTTATCTGAGTGAGCTGAGCTCATTACGTAGAAGTACGGGACTAACCCGGGCTTAAAGCCATAGAACAATGGGACCCACTCTCAAAGGATTAATGAAAATACAGTGGACCCCCGGTTAACGATATTTTTTCACTCCAGAAGTATGTTCAGGTGCCAGTACTGACCGAATTTGTTCCCATAAGAAATATTGTGAAGTAGATTAGTCCATTTCAGACCCCCAAACATATGTACAAACGCACTTACATAAATACACTTACATAATTGGTCACATTCGGAGGTAATTGTTATGCGGGGGTCCACTGTACAGTGGAACCATGGTACTCAAACAGGTTCCTACTCAAACAAAGCTCAGTATGGCATACATCATACACAGTTTGGTTCACCAATGTATAACATACATCATACACAGTTTCACCAATGTATAACATACATCATACATAGTTTGTTTCACCAATATATGGCATACATCATACACAGTTTGGTCCACCAATGTATGGCATACATCAGACAAATGTATGACATACATTATACACAGTTTAAGGATTTCACTGTCAAATAATTTGTTTTGTAATAAAATTTTCACTGGTTATGATTTCTACAAACTAATGCACTATCACTGTGACTGTAATAAAAAATTATAATATTTTCATCAAAATAAATTTGTAATATTCTTTCATATTGTATTTTTGTGAAATGAATCTTTGCTGTTAAGTGGATAATGTCTGTATACTTTAGTCTTTGTCAAGAGTCCTTGATTCTCTCTCAGTCCTAATATGCACTCACTCACTGTACATTCTAAACTGTTGTACCTGAGCGCCTCTGCAAAGACAGTGATTATGCATGAGTACATAAGAACATAAGAATGGAGGAACACTGCAGAAGGCCTACTGGCCCATGCGAGGCAGGTCCATGGGGAAAGTGTTGAATGATAATGAAAGTTTTTTCTCTTTCTTTTGGGTTTTTCTTTCTTTTTGGGTCACCCTGCCTCAGTGGGAAAGGGCCTACATGTTAAAAAAAAAATATTGTACATATTTTCCTTTGTTAATTTTTTTAATTTTTATTCAACCATGTTGCCTCTTTCCTTGCAAGCTTCTCTTTCATCTCACAAGTGTTCTGGCACTGATGAGCATTACGTATAACATTCAATTCACATTTCAGTAATTTCTCACCTTCAATAAATTCCAAAAATTTGCCCTTGCTATGTTATACTGTATCTCCAATCCTCTTCACTATTCCTACTCTATATGCCACTATTGTACCATAAGTGCATTAAAAATTAACAATAACAAACAATGCTTCCTGCACTCCATGCAAAATTCATAGTCTTGTACAGCAGGGCCCCGCTTTACGGTGTTTCACTTTACGGCGTTCCGCTAATACGGTCATTTCAAATTATGACCAAAACTCGCTATACGGCTCCCCCCACCTGACTTTCTAATACGGTCACCGCGCCCCACCCTGTTTGTTTACATTTTTCGTGAGCTCAGTAAGCACTAAGTCTCTCCATTTTGTCTGGAAACTCCAAAATTTCAAATGTTTTTAAAAGTTATTTCATATTTTATATATACTCTGATAATTATACTTATGTATACCTGTACTTAAATAAACTTACATACTGTGCTGGCATGCAGGTACACATTAAAATCAGTAAGAGTGTCTGTCTCCAGACGTCATATTAGTAATGATAATAATAATCATCGAGTCTCATTTAAATGTCGTATATTACGTTAAATACACATTTTCATTAATCCATCTATGATATTTTTTCAAAATTATATAATAAACACAATACATAACATAAAAAGATGATAAATACACCCCACAATAGAATAAATAAACATAAATATGAGATGTGGTAGCCAGATAACTTGTACAAGTGACACCAAGAATAACATTTTCTCTAATCTAACATAAGAGAAAATGCGTTACTGGGGGTAACTGTAGAAAATTATTCCTTTCGTATGTATGTAAGTAAGTTTATTCAGGTATACACAAATGCAGTTACATAGATTATCATACATAACAACATATGTGTAGAGAACCTAGGATAACCCAAAAAAGTCAGAGTGACTTATTTCCATTGCCTTCACTCAGAGCATCATTTCTTCTCAAAATGATGTTATTATTATTATTATAATCAAAAAAGAAGCGCTAAGCCACAAGGGCTATACAGCGCAAAATGATGTTACATGAGAATGGGAGTGTTCTTCTTTATTTATTCTACCGTATCAATGTAGAGACAACCTGTACACAATGTAACTTGTACACAAACCAGACGTGTACACTTCGTTTACAAAACTTACCTTCACCTGGTTTGTTTACATAACTCTGCGCCTGTACTCTCTCATGCACTCATTCTTTCTCTCTCTCATTTATTCGTTTTATCTCATTTACTTACTCCTGACCCTACATTAAGACTACAAATATTTTAAGGTAAGTAATGAGTGAACTGTATATACATTTTATCGCTCTGGGATGCTTAAATATCATAGAATTTTATGTGTGGGTGGGGTGGCCTGGTATGGTAGCCTGGCTGACTACCATACATACCACACTTGATTTCTTACAATAAATACTACTTGTCTCACCCTAGATTAAGACTATAAATATTTTAAGGTAAGTAATGAGTGCACTATGTGTGTATTGTACTTTTTTATTGTTTTTTGATGCCTGGTTCTATTGCTAACTTAATATATGTTAGTGTAAACTTGTTATCTAGTGTTTGTATGCATTTGTAAGTGGAAAAAAAGGGTGTTCCACTTTATGGCGGTTTCCGCTTTACGGCGGTAGCCTGGAACCTAACCAGCCATATAAGTGGGGCCCTACTGTATAAACAGTTTGGAAACTGACCTTTGCAAACTCATGAGGAAGCCCAGGAGGCAGAAGAGGAGGCCTGCCATCTATTGGAGGAGTCTGAGTGAAGGGAATTACCAGTAGCTGGAAGTCCTCTGGATTCATCACCTCACATGCACCACTCAGAACTCCTTCACTGCCTGTTAATAAACTTACTGTCACTCAGATGTACATCCTCTTCTTTCAACAAACCGGCCACATCCCACTGAAGCAGGGTGGCCCAAAAAGAAACATGAAAGTTTTTCTTTTTAACTTTAGTAATGTATACAGGAGAAAGGGATATTAGCCCCTTGCTCCCGGTGTGTTAGGTGCCTCTTACGGCATGCATGACTTACGGAGGAAGCATACTGTTCCACTTCCCCAGGGAGATAAGAGGAAATAACAAGAACAAGAACTAGTAAGAAAATAGAAGAAAACCCAGAGAGGTGTGTATATATATGCTTGTACATACATCATACATCCAAGTGTAGTGTGACCTAAGTGAAAGTAGAAGTAGCAAGACATACCTGAAATCTTGCATCGGATTTACATTTTTTTTTTAACACGGCCGTTTCCCACCGAGGCAGAGTGACCCCAAAAAGAGAGAAAAACCCCAACCATTCAACACTTTTACCATCACTCATACATAATCACTGTCTTTGCAGAGGTGCTCAGATGTGATAGCTTAGACATCCCTCCAAACTGCCAATATTCCAAGCCCCTTCCTTGAAGATACCAACATTATAAACATTACACAAATAGCCTGCATATAGAAGAGAGGAGCTTACGACGACGTTTCGGTCCGACTTGGACCATTTACAAAGTCACACTAACGAGAAGTGGAGGAGGACGGGTATATATAGGCAGGAAGAGGTAGTGGTGGTGGTAGTAGTAGTAGAAGTAGTGGTAGTGGTAGTAGTAGTGGGGAATTAAGGGGGAGGAGGAGCCAGTCAAATACAAAGAAAGGGGAGCACTGCAAGGGAGCTAGGTGCCCACAGAGGGAGAGCAAGTACACAGAGGTGGGGGGCAGGGGAAGTAATGAAATAAATAATGAAGGAGCAGAAACACAAGACAGAAGAAAGAAAGACAACCCAGAAGAGAAAAGAAAAAAAGGAAAGAGGAAAGGGAAAGAGGGAGAAGAAGAAAAAAGGAGGAATCAGGTTAAGTCATGGGTGTTCTAGTGGGAGAGGAAGGCATCTACAGAGGTGAAGCCAGGACTAAGATTCATACAAGGAAAATTGTGTATTAGGGAGGATTCAATCAGACGGCGACTGTTAACCCTTTGAGGGTCGACAGGCCCTCTCCGAAACTTGTTCTCAGGGTCGGCCAAATTTCAAAAAAAAAACAACAAAAAAAAATATTTTTTCTTGTGAAAAGATAGAGAATCTTTTCCCAATAATAATGACACCAAAAGTATGAAATTTGATGGAAAACTTACGGAATTATGCTCTCGCGAGGTTAGCGGTCTCAACGATGTTTACGCATCAGCGATTTTGCCTATTTGAGCCCTATTTTCGGCCAATTCCAATGTACTAGTTGACAAAAATCATAACTATTTCGCTAGAACTCCATTTTTTCTATCGAATGAGTACAAGAAACCACCCATTTACCAATTTCAACTATCCAATAAAGTGGTCACAATTTAGCAATTTTGCCAATTTCACACAAATTTCAAAAGATGTCAATTTCCGAATAGGGTCCAGAATAAACAACAAAGACATTCCTGGCACTAAAATAACAAGTACTCTGTTCGTTAGTCACATCCCCAGGCCCCTCTTATATTTCTTTGGCTTTCCACTTTGAATTTTTATTATTACAAAAAATAGAAGATTTACTGTTATGCATACTGCTGCATTAGTGTAGAAATGGTATAAATAATATCAGTGTACTTGTGAAAGAATATTGGACTCACCAGTTGACGTGTATTGGATGCTTGGCATGATTTGTTTACTTTTGAACTTCGATAGAAATCGAATATTTCTGCTACTTTGAGCTCAATTTCAAGATACTTTTCATTGTAAAACCAATCAAAATCATCTCAATTTTTGTAATATCTCTTCCATTCTATAAAATGAGACCAAGAAAAGTAGAATACAACAATAAATACCATACGAAAATACAGTGCAAAGTCGCTGTTTTATTCCAAAAACACGGTCAAAGTTTTTTTTTCTCATTACGCACTGTGTGCTGCAGGATTTTTTTCATACTGCGCACACTGACCACATAGACCCATTCTTTCATATGTAGGCCTACCAGCTTTCTCTCACCAGATTTGAGGGCGCTAGAATTTAGGCGTACTAGTACGTCAAAAACCCTGGGTCGTAAGCCGTACTAGTACGGCTGAAACCCTCAAAGGGTTAGAGTTGGAAGTAGGGAAGACAAAAATTATTTTCAATAATTAATTTGTTTCTAATTTACTTTTTCCACAAATGTATTTATATTCTGTATACTGTCATTTTGTGCACATGTGATGGACTCATGTTTGTTTGGTAAAGATTAATCAAGAACTGTAGAGTTAATAATTACAATTTTGTTAACCCTTTCAGGGTCAACAGGCCCTCTCATAGACTTGTTCTCAGGGTTCCCCAAGTTTCAAAAAAAAAAAAAAAAAAAAGATTATTTTTTCTTATGAAAAGATAGAGAATCTTTTCCCGATCATAATGACACCAAAAGTATGAAATTTGATGGAAAACTTACGGAATTATGTTCTTGTGAAGTTAGCGGTCTCGACAATGTTTACACATCAGCGATTTTGCCCACTTTGAGCCCTATTTTCGGCCAATTCCAGTGTACTAGCTGACAAAAATCATAACTATTTCACTAGAACTCCATTTTTTCTATCGAATGAGTACAAGAAACCACCCATTTACCAATTTCAACTATCCAATACAGTGGTCAGAATTTAGCAATTCTGCCAATTTCACACAAATTTCAAAAGATGCCAATTTCCAAATAGGGTCTAGAATAATCAAGAAAGACATTCCTGGCACTAAAATAACATTTCCTCTGTTCATTAGTCATGTCCCCATGCCCCTCTTACATTCTTTTGCTTTCCACTTCAAATTTTTATTCTCACAAAAAATAGAAGATTTACTGTTATGCAGACTACTGCATTAGTGTAGAAATGGTATAAATAATATCGGCGCACTTGTGAAAGAATATTAGACTCGCCAATTGACGTGTATTGGACGCTTAATATGATTTGTTTACTTTCAAACTTTGGTAAAAATCGAACATTTCTGCTACTTTGAGCTCAATTTCAAGGCACTTTTCATTGTAAAACTAGTCAAAATCATCTCAATTTCTGTAATATGTCTTCCATTCTATAAAATGAGACCAGGAAAACTAGAATACATCAATAAATACCATACGAAAATACAGTGCAAAGTCACTGTTTTAATCCAAAAACACGGTCAAAGTTTTTTTTTCTCATTACGCACTGTGTGCTGCAGGATTTTTTTATTCTGCGCACACTGACCATAGACCCATTCTTTCATATGTAAGCCTACCAGCTTTCTCTCACTAGATTTGAGGGCGCTAGAATTTAGGCATACTAGTACGTCAAAAACCCTGGTGCATAAGCCGTACTAGTACGTCCGAAACCCTGAGAGGGTTAAGAGCTAAATTTAATGTATTATTTCCATTATTTTTCCATAAAATGCTTTCACATTTTGTGCATCATCATTTTATACATATGTGGAGGGGAAGGGACATCCTTGTTTGACAGAGATTGGTCAAAAATTATAAAATTAATTATGCAAGTCTGCTTGGTAGCAACTCAGCCATGTTGTCCAGTGCTTGTTAATGTATGAGGTGCAGCAGCCTGGTACTCACATGACACACTTCATCCCACAGTCCAGTCTGACTCATAACAACCCCTCACAAGGAGGGAGGGAGAGAGGTAGGAAGAAAGAAGGGAGTTTAGGGAATGGGAGAGGAAGGATAAAGAGAGAGGGACTCACCTGCATACTGAAAATTACTTTTTATTTCAAGATTAAAAAAATAAAATTAGATGTGGAATATTATGGCTCAGGAACACACTTCCAATTAAAATGTGGGTGTCTATGGTAAAACAGGATCTGAGTTCTGAGCAACTGAGCAACAAGTAACTATCAGGAACACTGTAATGTCTTAAGTTAGGCCTCTACTGAATTTTGTGTTTACCTCACATTTTCGTCCAGTTTTCTAGAACATACATTGATTTTCCTATTTCTGCTTCATCACTGGGTATTCATACCAAAATGCAAAATAATTTCTCCAAGAGGAAACTTACCTAAGTGTAATGGCCTGTTCCACATATTAATATGTGACTGGAGTTGTGCTTTAGCCATGTGGTGTTTGAGACGAGGGTAATGAATATTGAGTGGTGCCAATGTGACACCCTGTGTGCGTCCTCCCACTAATATCGGTCTCTGTGGTGTAAGGGTATGCACGATCAATCCTCGACAATCTGCTATCACCACGGATCGTGCCGCACACACTAGTGTAGTGTTCCGACATTCACTTAAACGGATACGCCCTGACACTGGGCCCAACACTATTCGAGTATCATGGCATTTGTGGATTACAGCATTTCTGAGGACAGGGAAATGTATATTAGAGGTAATACAAATACAGAAATGTTGTAATACAGTACAGTACTACAAATATTCATATTAACCCGTTAACTGTCCAAACGTAGATCTACGTTCTCGCTGTCAGCGCTCTGAATATTTTGAAAAATATTTTTTTTTTTTAATTAAAGAGGGCAATTTTGTGTGCAATACAACCAAACAAAAAATTAGGGTCAGTACTTACTGAAATATAAGATGCTGGATGCTCAGCTGACAGCAACATGGAGCCCTGCTACTTGCAGAAATGTTGCCAATATACCTTTTTTTTTTCTCATTTTTTTTAATTTATATGATTTTTATGTTCTGATAATTACAATTTGTAGTAGTTCTTGTGAATTCATAGCCAATGTTTGATCTGACACTAATATTAGGTACTGAAATAGTACTCATAAAGTCACAAACACACTGACAGGTGAACATTTTCACCTGCCTTGGTCACATATGGGGTATATATGAAACTCCTTGAAGCATGGTGTAAGACAAGTGTCACTCCACTGCTGACAGTGCAGCTGTGGAGTGACATTTGATGATCGTGCACTGCCTTGGCTTTATTTGTTTTTACTGTTACACATAGACATGTGTCTGTTTAACTCTGTCCCTGCTTATCTGTCTTCCTGTCCCTTTGTCTGCTTGTCTCTGTCTTAGAGAGAGAAACTCATTAACCAACAGGTATTATACATGATGCAGTCTCATCACGTCTGATTCCTAAACAAGTGAAAATGTGTATTACTTGCCAGTCATTCTTATTATGCCTTATATCTACAAGTACAGTACAGTAGGGCCCCACTTATCTGCCAGGCTAGGTTCCAGGCTACTGCCAGAAAGCAGAACTCCATTTTTTCCATTTATGAATGCATATAAATGCCAGATAACAAGTTTACACTAACATATATTAAGTTAGCAATAGAACTAGGCATTAAAAAGTAAAATACACACACAGTACACTCATTATTTACCTCAAAATATTTGTAGTCTTAAGGTAGGGCAAAAGGTGAGTAGTATTTACTCTAAGAATTCAGGTGTGGTAGCCCTTCTGGCCACCCCACCCACACATACTATACTACGATGCTTAAAGAGTGATAAAACGCACATACAATAGACGCTGTACTTACCTTAAAATATTTGTAGTCTTAATGGTCTTATTGTAGGGCGAGAGGTGAAAAGTATTTATTTGTAGAAAGTCACGTGGGGGGTATGGCATCCTGCCTGGCCACTCCCGCCTACTATGACATTAAGCTCCCTAGAGTGATAAAATGCATATACATATAGTACACTCATTAATTAATTACCTTAAAATATCTTCCTCCGTAAGCCATGCGTGTTGTAAGGGGCGACTAAAATGCCAGGAGCAAGGGGCTAGCAACCCCTTCTCCTGTATAAATTACTAAATTTAAAAAGAGAAACTTTTGTTTTTCTTTTTGGGCCACCCTGCCTCGGTGGGATACGGCCAGTTTG